CTTGACCTACAGGGTCTGGTCCCTGAATGAGGAAAGAAAGGAAAAAATAAGCTTTAATCCTAATTTAACAATTGCTAATATAATAGCAAAAATAATAATTTCTCTCAAGCTTAATTTATTCTCCTGGTCCTGCTTACTTGATTCCTACAGCCCTTCCTAGGTTTTTCTAAAATTGTCCTTTTCATTATTTCTTATTATACAATCATGTTCAATTATATTCACAAAATATGATTTGTTCAGCCATAATTGATAGACTCCACTCAGTTTCTTAGTTCTTTGACACCACAAAAAGAGCTGCTGTACATTTTCCATATGTATCTTTTCCTCTTTCTTAGAGGCTTTTTAGGTATAGGCTTAGTAGTGGTATTTGTGGGTCAAAGGATATGCACAGTTTCGTAACTTTGGGGGCATAGTTCCAAATTGTTTTCCAGAATAACTGGGCCAATTGACAGGTCCACCAACAATGCATTAATGTGCCTGTTTTCCAGCAGCTCCTCCAGCATTTGTCATTTTCACTTTTTTGTGAACTTCATTAATCTGATAAGTGTGAGGTGGAACCTCAGGGATACTTTAATATGAATTTCACTCATTATTAACAATTTGGTGCGTTTTTTTTTTCATATGGCTATTATAGCTTGGATTTCTTCCCTTGAGAACTGCTTATTTATACCCTTTGACTATTTATCTATTGGGGAATGACTCCTAGCCTAATGAATTTAATATTATGTTAGGCAGCCAAGAAGTGAATGTGTTCACAGTGAGTATTGCATTGATAGGCATAGCTTTCAGGAATAAGTAAATGATAGTTCTGTGCTGTTCTGCCCCCATCAAGCCACATCTTGAGTATTTTGTTCCATTTTAAGCATCACCAGTAAGACAGTTGATAAGCAGGAGAATATGTAGAGAGTGAGCTCAACTTGGCCCACGAGGACCTAACTCTGAGGTCCTGTCTTTGTGGAGCCAGATTAAACAAAAGACTTGTTTGAAATCATTTCAGACCCTAGCCTATAGGTGCTGGAGACCACAGACTTCCTGTCCCCAGTGGCTCTCAGCCTCTAAGCCGTCTAGGAATCCAAGTCTTAGGATATTGACAGTCTTGCAGGGGCCTTAGCTTCTGGGGATTCAGAGACTGGGAACCACGTGCCAATACCACATTTAGAATGTATCTCCTGTTCTGGGTCTGGGAGTCAAAGGGAGTGAGAGCCCTTACTGACTGTGTTCAGTCTTCACAGGACCCTAAAGGTTCAGTGCCTCCATCTTTCTTCATTTTCAGGAAGGCAGAATCCCAGCTTCTGCCCAACTCCCCTCACTCTCAAGCTCCAGAGTCAATTTTTGCTAAGATGAAAACGTTCTTTCCACACCTCTGTGCTTATCACTATCGACTTTGGTTCTTTTGTTCTTGTTGTTGAGTGGTGTCTGACCCTTTGTGACCTATGGGCCGCAGCATGCCAGGCTCTTCTGTCCTCCAGTGTCTCTCCAGATCTGCCAAGCTCATGTTCGTTGTTTCCATGATACTATCCATCTCGTCCTATGCCGTCCCCTTTTCCTTTGCCCTCGGTCTTTCCCAACTTCAGGGCTTTTCCAGTGAGTCTCCTCTTCTCATTATGCGGTCAGAGTATTTAAGCTTCGGTCCTTGACCTTCCATCTATCATCTGCATATCTGAGATTATTGATATTTCTCCTGAAAACCTTAATTCCAGCTTTCGATTCATCCTACCTCTCCACAATCCATCTGATCCTCTTCTTTCTTTCCATCATACCCTCTGTCCTTTTTATCTTGGTTCCACATTCTCTCTATCTCCTTGCACTATCAGAAACCTGGCTCTCCACAGAAGACATTGCATGCTTGACTGCCCTCTCCATTGTGGGGGCTCCTTCGCTCATGCCTTCCACCCCAAGGCACTGGCCAGGAGCAGCAGGCATGCTTCTTGTTCCTCATTTCTTCCAAAATGTTACTTTTTCTGCATCCATCCTTCACATCCAGTCTGACTCCTTGTTGTAGCCAATTGCTAATGTCTAAATCATTCTTCTTTTCTTCTATTCCATTGAACAAGTATCTGCTGAAAGCCTAATCTGTGTCAAGCGCTGCTGAACTCTAGAACAAAGACGTTCTGCTCCAGTACAGCCTCTGCGCTCAGACTTGGGGTTTTTGACACACGTCTTTGTCCCCTCAAGCATTCTGGCTTCTTAATTCATCAGCCTTCTCAGCTTTCATGACCTCCATCTTCACCGACCTCAGCCACACAAAAGAAGGATCATACTCTTAGTCTGACCGTTATCCATAATTATTCTTCTCTATTATCCAAATCTCTTGTATTCCCCTTTCAGAACATACTCCTTTGCTCTCTGAGGAATCTATTCTTTATCCCATGATGATCTACATTTGTATTCTTAATCCCTTTTCCTGCCCATCTCCGGCTCATCTTTAGTCTCCTTCTATTCCCTGGCTCCTTCCCCAATGCCTGAAAACATATTCTTTTGTTTTTTGGCTAGGCAGTGGGGTTAAGTGACTTGCCCAGGGTCACACAGCTAGTAAGTGTCAAATGTTTGAGACTGGATTTGAACTCAGGTCCCCCTGACTCCAGGGCCGGTACTCTTGTCTACTGCACCACCTAGCTGCCCTTAGATCTCCCACATTCTTAAAGAACCTTTACTTAACCCTTTCATTCCTTCAAGCTAGTGTCTTATGCCTCTGCTCCCTTTCATAGCCGAACTCCTAGGAAATGCCACGTATACACATTGCCTCCACTTCCTTACCTACTCAATTGGAATGGCTTTCTTTAAGGTGAAGTTTTAACTGATCAATACAATGCCCTTTTCTCAGGCCTTATCCTTCTTGACCTTTTTGTATTTTTTGACACTGTCAACCACCCTTGGATTCTGAGATACTGTTTTCGCTTAGCTCTTTTTCCATTCTTACTGCTATTTCTCAGTCTCCTTTACTGGATCATCTTCAGCGTGGGTGTGCCAGGATTGGGATCTCCTCTTTCCTCTCTTTACATTCTCCCTTGGTATCTCCTCAGGTTCCATAAGTCCAATTATCATTTATGACAGACATTCTTAACCTGGAGTTTTAAAAATATTTTAATAACTGAATTTTAATAAAATTGATTTTCCTTGTAATTTTATGTATTTCATTTTATGTATTTAGAGACATTGTTCTAAGAAGGAGTCCGTAAACTTCACCAGACGGACAAAGGGATCCATGACAAAAAAAAGGGGGGAGAGTACCTAAGAACCTTTGATCCATGCAGATGACTATCAAATAAAGATATACCTTTTGTAGATTTCTCAAACCTAATGTGTCCGAAATGGAGCTTGTAGTGTTTCTTCTTTAGACTTTCCTGTTTCTATCAAGGATACCACCACCCTTCTAGTCACCGAGGCTCCAGATCAGTTACCACATGTCTCAGATCTGTCCCCTTCTCTCTACTTGCACAACCACTGTGCTAGTTCAGGCTCCTGTCTCATTGCCTAGACTGTTACAATAGCCTCCTGCTTCGATCTCTTTCCCTCCAGTCTTCCTCTCTAATACAATCTTCACACAGTTGCTAAATTGATAGTTTGGATCTAAGATAACTGACCCTGTCATCCTCCAACCTTTTCAAAAATATTCAAGATCTTCCTATTTTCTTTAGTACAAAATACAGACTCCTTAGCCTGGCACTTGATCTTCACTCCCACCCCCCTTTAAATCTTATTTCATGTTAGTCCCTCTTACACATTCTTTCCTCCAGAAGGCTAGCCTGTTAGAAGATCCCTGTGACCGTCCAGCTTCTCTTTGTTTGTTTTACAAGTAGTCCCCCCAGTATGGAATGTGCTTTCTCACTTCTGCCTCTTAGAATCTTTAGCTTCTTTTGGCTGCGTAAAGCACACTTTACCTGTCCCCTGCATGTGAGGCCTGGCCTGATTCTCTCCATTTATTAGCTCTCCCTCTTGAAATGACTTGGAATAAGTTGATGTTTACTTGTGGACGTGATATAAATAAAACCCGAGCTCTTTGAAGGCTTAAGCTTTTCTTTACGTCCGTTGCTTCTAGCGCGGTGCCTCATACATAGCAGGTGCTTAATAAACGTTTGTGGAATCAGCCTGATTTGAAGTGGATCAAGATGGTTCATCATGTATTAATGCCACAGAAAGATCATTTGAAGGAGGATAATTTGATAGATGTTGTTGTTATTATTTGTTCTTTGTGCTCAAAGAAGATCAAAATGACATCGTGACCAATGTGCGGTGTGTCTGCCTGTGGCTGGTCAGACCAATACAAGCTTGGAAGGCTCTACCTGTTGGGCACAAATAGTCTGTCTGACCATTGGGAGAGAGACGTCTCCAAAGTTGTGCATCCTTTGATAGAGGTGTAGCCTGAAAAAGACAAGACTCAATAGGATGGGATTGCTAGCGTCCTGTAATTAAGAGGCTGTCATGTGGAAGAGGAATTGAATTTGTTCCATGTGGCCCCACAAGGCAGAATCAAGAGTAATGGAGAGAAGCTGCAGAGGCCAATGTAAGCTCGCTCTAAGGAAGATCTTCCTGACACTTGGAACTCTCCAAAAGGGGAATGTGTTGCCTTCGATTCACTAGACATCTTCAAGCAAGGACTAGAGGACCATTTGTTGGTGGCATTAAAATAGGAAGTCTTTTGGGATATAGGTTGCACTGAGGTCCTTTCCAGCTCTAAGATTCTGTGATTCTTTGATTATGACCTTTCAAATATTAGCTTTGACACTCATTACAGTGTGACCTAGGTTAAGTTGGTAAATCTAAGTCAGTTTCCTTATTTGGAAAATGTATTTACTAACCTACCTACTTCACAGAGTTGTTGTTGTGAAGATCAGTATAAATGCTTTTTGTAAATTAAATGGATAAATAGCCATACAATGGTAGTATTATTTTCTTTTAGACTTCAAAGTTCAACAGTCATTTTTCTTAATGGAGGAAATGGAAGATAGGACCAAATGTACAAAAAAAAAAAGAAAGTATTTACTTTTTCTTTCTTTCAGATTGGGAGAACAGACCCAAAACCAAGGAGTCAATTCCAAAGCTGGGCATTTCTATGGAAGAGTCATTCCAAGAAAGTTTCAAAAGGGATGGTACCTGTGTCTCCAAGTTCGTAGAATGTGAGGCTGGGTTAGAAAGATGGCAGAGCTATGAGAAGAAACGTTCTAAGCAAGTAAAAACTTTCCAAAGGAAAATTTCCAATAAATTGAAGCACCACAAATGTCAGAAATATGACAGAATCTTTGGTCTAGAGTCAACCTTTGTTTCCCAACCAAAACTATATGTTGGAAAGAGTTTCCACCAATACAATAAACATAGAAAGATTTTCAGATTGTTTTCTGACTCAGACAAGTATAATAAAATCTCTTTGAAGAATACGTTTTCCAAATTTGATGAATGTGAGAAATCCTTCAGTTATAATTCAGACTTTTTAAAACGTCGTAGAATAAATACTCAGGAGAAACCTCGTGAATATAATGAAGGTAGAAAAACTTATCAGAGCTCATCCATTATTTCTGTCCCAACAATCAATACTGGAGAGAAATCCCATAAATGTAATGAATGTGGAATGTCTTTCTTCAGTAGCCTACAACTAATTGAACATTGGAGCATTCATATGGGAGAGAAACCTTATCAATGTAATGAATGTGGAAAGGTGTTTCGCTGGAGTTCAGGACTTACTGAACATCAGAGAATTCATACTGGAGAAAAACCTTATGAATGTACTGAATGTGGGAAGACTTTCAGTCATAGGTCATCCCTTACTTCCCATTACAGGATTCATAGTGGGCAAAAAACTTATGAATGTAATGAATGTGGCAAGGCCTTCTACTGGACCTCAGAACTTACCAAACATCAGAGAATTCACACTGGAGAGAAACCTTATGAATGCAGCGAATGTGGTAAAGCTTTCCATCAGAGCATACATCTTACTCAACATCAGAGAACTCATACTGGAGAGAAACCTTATGAATGTAACGAATGTGGGAAGGCCTTTGGCCGAATTGCACTCCTTACTGAACATAAGAGAATTCACACAGGAGAGAAACCCTATGAATGTAATGAGTGTGGGATGGCCTTCCGGTGGAATTCAGGACTAACTGAACATCAGAGAGTTCATAGTGGAGAGAAACCTTATGAATGTAATCAATGTGGGAAGACTTTCAGTCGTAGATCATCCCTTACTTCCCATCACAGGATTCATAGTGGGAAGAAACCTTATGAATGTAATAAATGTGGCAAGGCCTTCTATTGGATGTCAAAACTTACTAAGCATCAGAGAATTCATACAGGAGAAAAGCCTTATGTATGCAATGAATGTGGGAAGACCTTTAACCGAAGCACACATCTTACTCAACATCTGGGAATTCATACTGGTGAAAAACCTTTTGAATGCAGTGAGTGTGGGAAGGCTTTCAACCGCAGCATACATTTTACTCAACATCAGAGAATTCACACTGGAGAAAAACCTTACGAATGTAATAAGTGTGGAAAAGCCTTCTGCCAGAGCTCAGGACTTACTAGACATCAGAAAATTCATACTAGAGAGAAACATTAGGTTATAATGACTGCAGGAAGGCTTTCTGCCACAATAAAAAAAAAAAAAACTTCCTGATCATCAGAGAATTAATTAACTATTAATTGGAGAAGACTTACAAATGTGATAAATGTGGACAGCTTCTCCATAAGCTATCCCTTACTTCCAGTAGATGATTATATGAGAACTTATAAGTGTATTGAAAGTGGGAAGGTCTTCCATGGGAGCACAGAGTTCAGTATACATTGCAGAATTAATAGTGGAGAGAATTAACGAATGTCAGAAGCCTTTCATACGTTTTATTGCTCATCAGAAACTTCATACTGGAGAGAAATTTTATATAATAAATGTGGGAAAATTTTCACCTGAATCAAAAGTCTTTCAAAAGTCTTACTCAATATCAGAATTCATATTGAGCAATATTTTATGAAAATTAAGCCTTCTCTAAGTGAAGCACAGTTTCATCTGATTATCTGATAGCTCTTCCAAACATTTTCCTCTCAAGTCTCCAAACCCAAAGCCTCCCTTTTCCAAAGCCACAGCTAACAATAGATAATGATTTTTTTGATAAGCAAAAATTGTCATCTTCCAGATATTTTATCCTTTAGTTAATCACTTAGCATTTATTAAGTGTGTACTATATGCCAGGCACTATTATACTAAGTGCTGTGGATACAAAGAAAGGCAAAAGACTGTTCCTGTCCTCAAGGAGCTCACAGTCTAATGGATGAGGGGAAGATAACATGAAAACAATTATGTAAGCAAGATTTATATGCAGGATAGATTGGAGACAGTCAACATAGAGAAGACATTAAAGAGGATTGGGAAAGACTTCTTGTAGAAAGTAGGGTTTTATCTGGGATTTGAAGGAAGCCAGAAATGGATCATTTTAAGTTCTCATGCTTCTCTTACCTTTCCTTTTAAATTTCTGGTGGTTCCTAGTTTGTTATGCTTCCCATAACCCATTTATATGTGCATGCGCTCCTTTGTTTGTACGTGTTTTTTGCCTTTGCTTTTGTTCTTAGAGATCCAGGATCTCTGCCTGTAAAGCATTACTTCCTGCATTATCCAGAATTTTTAGGCGTACTTATTTCCTCTTCTCGATTTCTTACAAAAACAGCCGAGAGATGGTGTTTTGGGGTGTGGTGAGAGATAAGGTGTTCGTGTCGGGTTCTATTTGGTGAGGGAAGGTGCTTCAGGAGACATCTAAAGAGGCTGTGCTTCCACCCTAGGGGAGAGGTATCTGGGTTCCCCATGCATCAGATGGGGGGCAGGTGAACCATAGAAGGTGGATGTAGTCATGGGATATACTGGCTCTAAGATCGACAGATGAAGACTATAAGAAATGACTGTAATGTAAACAGTAAGATTAAGACCCCATGACACAAGATGCAGATAATATTAATAAATATTAATATTTAATACTATTAATTTGTTATTAATATAATAACATTAATAAATATTCATAAATTAATATTTCACATTAAAGGTGCCTCAGAAGTAATCCTACCCTATCCCCTGAGAGAGAGAGAAAGAGAAGAGAGAGAGGGAGGCAGGGAGGGAGAGAGAGAGAGAGAGAGAGAAAGGAGGCATGGGTGAGACCCATGCAGTAATAGTGACCCACATAAGCAGCTAGGTGGCACAGTGGATACAGTGCTGGGCCTGAAGTCAGAAAGACCTGAATTCATATTGGCTTCAGATACTTCGAAGCTGTGTGACCCTGGGCAAGTCAACCTCGGTGTGCCTTGGTTTCCTCAACTGTAAAATGAGGATCCTCACAGCAACCTTGGGAAGCAGATACTGTTATGATCCTTATTTTACAATTGAGGGAACTGAGTCAGGAGGTTAAGTGACTTGCCCAGGGTTTATTGTCTTTTTTTTTTTTTTTGGCTAGGCAATGGGGTTAAGTATCTTGCCCATGGTCACATAGCTAGTAAATATTACGTGTCTGAGGCTGGATTTGAACTCAGGTCCCCCTGAATCCAGGGCCGGTGTTCTATCCACTGCGCCACCTAGCTGCCCCCTACTGTCCTTCTTTTTCAAAGAAGACCAAAATAGCCTCACTATGTTGGAGTCAAGGTACAGTGTGTCTGTCTGTGGCTGATCAGACCAATACACTCTTGGAAAGCTCTACCACAGGTCAGGGACAAATAGTCCATATGAACATCCAGAGTGGAGATGTCTCTAAATTTGCGCATCTCACATTTCTTTTGAGCTACTGCACTTCTGCTTTGCTCAGAGAGCACAGTGCCTTCTCTGATACAGGCATGCCACACTGTGCAGGGCTTGGCCAGTGTCTCCCGTGTCATGCAATTGATTCCAGAGTTCTTCAGAGAGGTCTTGAGAGTCTCCTTGTGTCGCTTTTTCTGACCACTATGTGAGCGCCTGCGTCACCTGAGTTTGTAAAATAGTCTTTTAGGCAATCATACCTTTGGCATTTGAGCAACATGGCCAACCTATTGGAGTTGTGCTCTCTGAAGCAGTGTGAATGCTTGGCAGTTTAGCTCAGAAAAGGACCTCAGTGTCTGGTATCCTATCCTGCCAGGTGATCTTCAGAATCTTCTTAAGACAATTCAGATAGAAGTGATCCAGTTTCCTGGCATGGCACTGGTAGACTGTCCAGGTTTCACAGGCGTACAACAGTGAGGTCAGCACAACAGCTGTGTAGACCTTCAGTTTGGTGGTCAGTCTAATACCTCTTCTCTCCCACACGTTTCCTTTGGAGCTTCCCAAACATTGACCCAGCTCTGATAATGCGCGTATCTACCTCATTATCTATGTGGATGTCCTTGGAAAATATACTGCTGAGGTAAGTGATCTTATCCATAGAACTCAAAATTACTCCATCTGCTGTAACTGAAATTTCCATCTATGGATGGTGTGGTGGTGGCTGGTGGAGAACCTGTGGTTTCTTGGTGTTAATTGTTAGGCCAAAATTAGCACAAGCAGCAGAGAATTGATCTACAATTTGTTGCATTTCAGCTTCAGAGGTTGCGTTGAGTGCACCATCATCTGTGAACAAAAAATCATGCTTGTAGCCTTTTCAAATACTTTACCATCATAATAAATAAGTAAATAATTTGCCATCGGTATGGTAGCTGGCCTTGATGCCGTGTTTGGCCTCACTGAAAGCATCTGACAACATGACTGAAACCATCATGCTAACCGTGGGAGCACACAACCTTGCTTCACTCCATTGGTGACTGGAAAGGTGAGAGTATCATCTGTGATGGGCAAGATACAATACTGATGAACTTCTCCAGGCAACCACATTTTGACAATTTTCCCATAAGCCCTCATGACTGACAGTATCAAATGTCTTGGTCACACAGCTTGTAAATACCTGAATGTGAATTTGAACTCAGGGCTTCTTGTCTCCAGGTCCACTGTGCCACTGAGCTACTACCCAAGAAAAGCTTTCCCCTGGGACTCAGAACCTGGCCCCTGGAGGGTCTTTGCTTCCTCCCTTAGTCACTGCCATGGAGTTTTATCAAGGCTGAGTGGTTATTGTTTGGTATACCTAGTTTCCTAATCATTTGTGAGTGTGAGGCCAGGTACTTATGCTACTCATTCCCAGGTGAGCAGTGCTTCCTCTGCACACCTAGAAGCTGGCAGCTTGTTCATGTTGCCTTTGAGGTTCTACCTTTCCTACTCTACTCTACCAGGTGAGAGGTTATCTCTCATCTCTGAAGACAAGAAAAGTCTCCATCCTCTTGCCAGGGATTGGGTCCAATGACCTAATTTTCTTTGCCAGCCCAAATCCATTCTGCGAACTCTTCCCACTTCCCTCTTAAGAACACAGGAAAGATCAGGCCCCCAGAGATTTCAGAGTCCTCTGGGTGTTGCTGCCATGGCCACTGTTCTCAGAATGTAGTGGGGTCACGCTGATATTCCAAGCTGGCTCTCACTCCAGCACTTTCCTGTTTCCAATGAGTAGCGCTTGCCATGTCCAAATCCAGTGTGGTCCCCCAGTTGGACCAAGGGGAAGCACCTTGGGTGTCAGAGGGGGAAGGCCCAAGGTGCAGGTGAGTGAGTGGCATCCCGCAGCCAAGGAAGGATAGCAAGCAAACATAATGGCCTCTTGACGGAGCCCAGTACTTCTGTAGCCTTTGATCACCCTCTTCTTGAAACTCTCTAGGTTTCCATGACACTCCTCTCTGCTGGTTCTCCTCCTACCTGTCACTGCTCCTTCCCAATCTCTTTTGCTAGATCTTCATTTAGGGTGCACTAACTGGGTGTCTCCCAACACTCTTCTGGGCTCTCCCCTTTTCTCCCACTATACTATACCATTTCAGTTGGTGAGCTCATCAGCTTCCATGAATTATCTCTATGCTGATGATTCTCAGACTTACTTATCTAGCCCCAACCTCTCTCCAGATCTCTGGTCTTGAACTCCAACTGCCTATTAGCCATCACAACTGGGTGTTCCATAGACATTTTAAATTTAACATGTCCAAAAAGGAACTCATTATCTTTACCCTCCCCCCCAAATCCTTCCCTCTTCCTAACTTCTACCATCCTCTCAGTCACCCAGGCTCACAGCCAAGGTATCATCCTCAACTCTTCCCTCTTTCTCAGCCTCTCTAGGCAATCAGCTGCCCAGTCCTGTCATTTCTACCTTCATAACATCTCTCACATATATGCCCTTCTTTCTTCTGACACTGGTGCGGGCCCTCCTCATGCCATGCCCTCACACCTGGACTGTTTCAATAGCCTACTGGTTGGTCTCCCTGATGGAAGTCTTTCCCCACTCCAGTCCATCCTGCACTCAGCTGTCAAACTGATCTTCCTAACACGCAGATCTGATTATGTCACCCCCTACTCGATAAACTTCAATGGCTTCCTATTGCCTCTAGGAGAAAATACAAAATACTCTGCTCGGCATTCAAAGCCCTTCATAAACTGGCTTCCTCCTATCTTTCCAATGTTCTTATTCCATAACACGTGCTCTTTAATCCAGTAACTCCGGCTTGTCTGATGTTCCATGGACAAGACACTCCCTCCCTCAGCTCTGGGCATTGTCTGCGTCCATCTGCCATGCCTGGAATGATCTCCCTCCTCATCTTTGCTTTTTGCCTTTGCTGGCTTGCTTCAGTCCCAGCTAAAATCCCGCCTTCTGCAGGAGGTCTTTGTTAGTTCTAGTTTCCTAATCATTTGTGAGTATGAGGCCAGGTACTTGCTACTCATTCCCAGTTCTAGAGCGGTCTCTCTGGTGGTTATTTCTGATTTATCCTGTATGTAGCTTGTTTGTACATAGTTGTTCGCACATTGCTTCCCCCTTAAACTGAGAGCTCCTTAAGAACAGGGGCTGGTTGTATTTTTTGGCCTTTCTTGTATCTCCAGAACTTGGCACGTAGCCGGTGCTTAATAAATGCTTGTTGACTGGACTTGGGCCAGGTCACCTAGCCAGCGTCTGTCGGACGCAGGGCTTGAACCCCAGTTTTTCTGGTTCCAAGGCCAGATCTTGATCTACTCCACCTTCATTGAATATTGAAAAATACAAACTAAAAGGAAATTGCATATGGGGCAAGTTCTTGCTTTGTTTCCCACAGTGACTGTTTCAAGTGTTTTCTTTCTCCCTAAGTCCCCAGCCTTCCTCCTGCACCAAACAGTAGTATACTAATGATGAGAATGGTGCTGATGATACTGAGGATGACGATGATGAAGAAGAACAAGAGGC